GCAATAAAAGAAAGTTGAGTTTGGGAGACAGGTGGTTAGAGTTGTGATCAAATCAACTTTCAACAAAGACAAGTGCCCCAGGGTTGGCCTCTGAGAAACCCCCGGAGACAATGGGGCTGACTTCATTATCCTCAGGTGGAAGCTGGAGGCCAGGATGGGAAGAGCCCACCAAGGTCATGTGGTGTCAGACATAAAGCTTAAGACTGGGTTGGTTGGTTGGTTGTTTTGAGTCGGAGTCTTGCTCTCTTGCCCAGGCTGGAGTGCAGTAGAGCAATCTCAGCTCACTGCAACCTCCGCCTCCTGGGCTCAAGGGATTCTCCTGCCTCAGTCTCCTGTGTAGCTGGGATTATAGGCATGTATCACCACACCTGGCTAATTTTTGTATTTTTAGTAGAGATGGGGTTTCATCATGTTGGCCAGGCTGGTCTCAAACTCCGGACCTCAGGTGATCCACCCGCCTCCCTGTCCCAAAGTGCTGGGATTATAGGTGTGAGCCATTGTGCCCAACCTTAAGCCTGGGATTTGACTTCCCCGCATGGAATCACGGTTTTAGAGCTGGAAGGACAGCAGAGAAGTCCAAGGAGCACAGAACTTGCATATCTATAAAGTGGTGCAATGGGCTGCATGGTGGCTCACAACCTCTAATCTCAGCACTTTGGGAGGCCAAGGCAGGTGGATTGCTTGAGGTCAGGAGTTCGAGACCAGCCTTACCAACATGGTGAAACTCCATCTCTACTAAAAATACAAAAATTAGCTGGATGTGGTGGTGCATGCCTGTAATCCCAGTGACTCCAGAGGCTGAGGCAGGAGAATCGCTTGAACCTGGTAGGCGGAGGTTGTAGTGAGCCGAGATTGTATCATTGCACTCCAGCTTGGGCGACAGAGCGAGACTCCGTCTCAAAAAAAAAGAAGGGGGTGGGTGGGCAATGACCCCTGCCTCTGGGGCTTGCTGTGGAGCTTAAATGAAACCGCAGATCCGAGAGTCCCTGGCAGCAGAGCTCAGTGATTGGGTGCTGCCACCTCTTGGCTCATTGTCCTCTGCTCTGCAATTGTGTGGAGGGGAAAGCAGCTGGCAAAAGTGGTGATGAAGCCAGCCCCTCGACTTCCTCCTGCATCGGTGCACAGCTTCAGAACCAGTTACACCGTTTGTTTGGAAAGCGGATTCCTGGGCTCCTTTCTGGATCACTGAATTGGAATCTCTAGCTGACGAGCCTCTGAGCCTATTTCACATTCCTATCCCCTAAATGTGGTTAGAGATTTATAAGGTTTGGCTGTGTCCCCACCCAAATCTCATCTTGAATTCCCATGTGTTGTGAGAGGGAACTGGGGGGAGGTAATTGAATCGTGGGGCAGGTTTTTCCCGAGCTGTTCTCATGATAGTGAACAAGTCTCATGAGATCTGATGGCTTTATAAGCCAGGGTTTTCCTACACAAGCTCTCTGTCTGCCTGCTGCATCTGTGTAAGGCAGATGACTTGCTTCTCCTTGCTTTCCACCCATGATTGTGAGGTCTCCCCAGCCATGTGGAACTGTAAGTCCATTAAACTTCTTTCTCTTGTAAATTGCCCAGCCTCAGATATATCTTTATCAGCAGCATGAAAACGGACTAATGCGGTGATGCACACTGGCCTTGGGAATGAGGGAGGCAAGTTTAAGAAGTGTGGATGTTGCCAGGTGTGGTGGCTCACGCCTGTAATCCTAGCACTTTGGGAGGTTGAGGTGGGCAGATCACCTGAGGTGAGAAGTTCAAGAGCAGCCTGGCCAACATAGTGAAACCCCGTCTCTTAAAAAAAAAAAGAATTGTGGATGTTAACTGGGAGGAAAGAATGGAGAAACAGCCTCAACACAAACTGTGGATGCCCCATGAAGGATTCTGTGAGGTGTGGCCAGGCAGGCCAGGTCGGCTGCTGCTTGGAGAATAAGGGACTTCTAAGAATCAGCGTAGGGTGGGGCCAGGTGAGGTGGCACAGTGCCATCCACAGTGAAACCTAGAAAATTCGAGCCTTGGCTAGGTGCAGTGGCTCACAGCTGTAATCCCAGAACTTTGGGAGGCTGAGGCAGGCAGATTGCTTGAGGCCAGGAGTTCAAGACCAGCCTGGCCAACATGGTGAAACCCTGTCTTTACTAAAAATACAGAAATTAGTGGAGGGTGATGGCGCATGCCTGTAATCCCAGCTACTCAGGAGGCTGAGGCAGGAGAATCACTTGAACCCGGGAGACAGAGGTGGCAGTGAAACGAGATCATGCCACTGCACTCCAGCCTGGATGATAGTGAGTGAGCCTCTATCGCAAAAAGAAAGAAGGCGACAGCTTTGCGTTTTTTTTCTCTTCCTCCCCTTTTTTTGCCCAACCTCTGTTGAAAAGATAATTACAGGATAGGAAGTTACTATTAGGCATCTCCACCTTTCTGGTGCCCTCTTTCCCCCTTCCCAAAATACTTCCCATCCCTGTCTGAAGTCATCCCCATGAGGGCATGGTTCCCAGGAGTTCTCAGTTCACCTCCTTCGCAGTCTCCTGCAAGCTTTATTAAGACCATGACCTGGCCCAGTGCGGTGGCTAATGCCTATAATCCCAGCACTTCGGGAGGTCAAGGTGGGAGGATTGCTTGAGCCCAAGAGTTTGAGAATAGACTCGGTGACATAGAAAGACCCTGTTTCTACAAAAAAATACAAAGATTAGCTGGGTATAGTGGTGCATGCCCGTGGTTCCAGCTACTTGGGAGACTGAGAGGGGAGAATCGCCTGAGCCCGGGAAGTCAAGGTTGCAGTGAGCCAAGATCCTGCCACTGCACTCCAGCCTGGGTGACAGAGTGAGACCTTGTCTCAAAAAAACAAAAAATGAAATGAATATTTAAAAGACTATTACCTGCATGGGTGCAGTGGCTCACGCCTGTAATCCCAGCACTTTGGGAGGCTGAGGTAGGTGGCTCACCTGAGGTCAGGAGTTTGAGACAAGCCTGGCCAACATGGTGAAACCCCATCTCTATTAAAAAAAAAAAAAAAGAAAAAAAAGAGGCCAGGCATGATGGCTCAAGCCTGTAATCACAGCACTTTGGGAGGCTGAGTCAGGTGGATCATGAGGGCAAGAGATCGAGACCATCCTGGCCAACATGGTGAAACCCCGTCTCTACTAAAAATACAAAAATTAGCTGGGCGTGGTGGCATGTGCCTGTAGTTCCAGCTATTCGGGAGGCTGAGGCAGGAGAATTGCTTGAACCCGGGAGGCGGATGTTGCAGTGAGCCAAGATTGTGCCACTGCACTCCAGCCTGGCGACAAGGTGAGACTCTGTCTCAACAACAACAACAAAAAAGAACCCAGTCTCTGCCTTCGAAGTCTCTCCCACATCAAAGATTCTTCCTTGCAAAACTGAAGAGCAGGGCCCAGACTGGGACTCCTTTTGTCTTCCTCACCCCTCCTGAACTGGCTTGTGAACGCTTTCTCTTATCTCTCTCCTCTTGATGTTAAATGCTGTAATGTATAACGTGTATATATATCGCTTAAGTATATTATGTATGGTTTGCAGAACTGATGGACCTGTGGAGAGGCTTGAGCTTCTGTGCGGCTCTGAGTACCAGTGAATGGGAAGTCCTAAGGACAGTTGCCTCCTCAGGAACTCCAAGTAGCTTGTGGCTTCTGTGATTGAAATAGCATCAGTAAAAGCCTGACATTGTGGAAAGTCACAAGCAGGTGCCCTTGGTTATCTCTAACCTTGCACTGTTCTTGAAACTCACCCAAACCTATCAGAATCTATATTCCTTTTTTTTTTTTTTTTTTTTTTTGAGATTGAGTTTCGCTCCTGTTACCCAGGCTGGAGTGCAATGGTGCGATCTCGGTTCACTGCAACCTCTGCCTCCTGGGTTCAAGCAATTCTGCCTCAGCCTCCTGAGTAGCTGGGACTACAGGCTCGTGCCACCATGCCCAGCTAATTTTTTGTATTTTTAGTAGAGACGGGGTTTCACCATGTTGACTAGTTTGGTCTTGATCTCTTGACCTTGTGATCCACCCGCCTCGGCATCCCAAAGTGCTGGGATTACAGGCTTGAGCCGCTGCTCCCGGCCAGAATCTATATTTCAAGTGCTTCAGGTGACTGTTATGTCTAATAAAGTTTGAGAGCCAATGAAATACAAGTCCATTTTCTTTTTTTTTTTTTTTTGAGACAGAGTTTTGCTCTTGTTGCCCAGGCTGGAACACAATGGCATGATCTGGTCTCACTGCAACCTCCCCCTCCCAGGTTCAAGTGATTCTTCTGCCTCAGCCTCCTGAGTAGCTTGGATTACAGGTGTGCACTACCACACCCGGCTAATTTTTGTACGTTTAGTAGAGACGGGGTTTCAACATGTTGGCCAAGCTGGTCTCGAACTCCTGACTTCAAGTAATCCACCCACTCCAGCCTCCCAAAGTGCTGGGATTACAGGCATGGACCACCACGCCCGGCTACTTTTGTATTTTTAGTAGAGATGGGGTTTCTCCCTGTTGGTCAGGCTGGTCTTGAATGCCCGACCTCAGGTGATCCACCCGCCTCAGCCTCCCAAAGTGCTTGGATGACAGGCACGAGCCACCGTGACCAGCCCAAATCCATTTTCAATACAAGCATATGCTTTCAGTGAGGGTTAAAGTGGAGTCTGGGGGCTGAGGAGCTGCAACTGTGATCGGATGGTGCGTGGTAGGATGGCAATCTGATTCAGCCAACTCCTGGGAAGGGAGGTTTGATGAGGAGAGAAGCCATGAGAGTCAGAGCTTAGAGTCCTTAATGGGGAGGCCAGCAGTGAGAAGGCTTGGTTAGTTGCTCACAAAGAGAAGGCCCTAGGGAGGAGGGGCAGAGTGCACAGAGATGAGCCACCCCAAGGGCAAGATCTTATCAAGAATTTTTGGGAGCTGATTCTTTGCAGGTCATCTCTTCCCAGACATCAAAGGCAATTATAGAATGACTATCTGCTGTTGTCTGGTCTTGTCCCATCACTCCTAACACCCTCTTTTTTTCTTTTTCTTTTTATTTTCCAGAGATGGGGTCTCGCTGTGTTGCCCAGGCTGGAGTGCCGTGGCTATTCACAGGTGCAATCCCACAGCTAATCAGCACGGGAGTTTTGACCTGCTCCGTTTCTGACCTGGGCCAGTTCACCCCTCCTTAGGCAACCTGGTGGTCCCCCACTCCCGGGAGGATTGATGCCAAACTTAGTAGAGACACCCGATTGGCAGCCCAGAACTCCTGGGCTCAAGTGATCCTCATACCTCAGCCTCCCGAGTAGCTAGGACTACAGGCACACGCCCCCGGCCCGGATAACGCCCTCTTTCTAGAAAATGGTAAGGCTATGGAGAAAAAGTAAATCGGTTGAAAGGATCTGAGCTCCTCAGAATGGGGCGTTTTAGGTCCTGATGGCAATTTCAGAACAACCACACTCAGTAACCTTCCTTGATGTTTTCCATCAAGGAAAACCTAGCATGAGGAGTCTTTAGAAAGCTACAAGCGCACCTGGAGGTTCTTTGCATCCAATTTTCATAGAGGACCTTGCGCATTCAAAGGTGAAGTACACAGGCCACCGGCTTGTCTTGTTTCTGTTCTTTATTCTTTGCATCAGTCACTCTGGCCATTCATTGCTTTTTGCTCTCAGATATGGGGCAGGAGCCACACACTTAGAAGAAAAAGGGGAGTAGACACTTCCGGGGCAACTGTGGCTCCTGGGCCTCTGCTTGTCCTAAGTCATTTTTGGGTTTTTTTGTTTGTTTTTTGAGATGGAGTCTCACTCTGTTGCCCAGGCTGGAGTGCAGTAGCGCGATCTCAGCACATGACCACCTCTGGCTCCCAGGTTCAGGTGATTCTCCTGCCTCAGCCTCCTGAGTAGCTGGGATTACAGGTGCCTGCCACCATGCCCAGCTAATTTTTGTATTTTCAGTAGAGACTGGGTTTTGCCATGTTAGCCAGGCTGGTCTCGAACTGCTGACCTCAGGTGATCTGCCCGCCTCCACCTCCCAAAGTGCTTGGATTACAGGTGTGAGCCGTTGTGCCCCACCTGTCCTAGGTCATTTTGATCGGCTTAAACTAAAGCAGCCTGTGCAGCAGGGATTTACTCCCAGCAGCCTTTTCGCCCTAATGTCATATTGCCTTTCAAAACAGTTGTCCTGCTCTCCTGGCCTTTCCCTAACCGGGGCTGCAAGCAGCAGCTCGGCCCCTACCCTGACCTTGGACCTGCTCTGGCAATGAAATGTGATCCAGAAAAGCCCCTCTCAGAGACCGCGCAGCCTGCTGTCTGCCTGCCCTAGCACACCTTCCTAACATCCCTCCTGCATGAGCCAAGGGGCTTTCTTCCCAGGGTGAGGCCCAGAGCCACAGTGACCCAACTGGCTGGCCCTCCCACCCCAGCACAGGTGCACAGCCAGCTGTCTGCTGTGCACCTGTGCGGTGCACAGCTGCGTCTGCGGCCACACCAGCCTGAACATGCCCGATCTCATCTCAGAAGCTAAGTGGGGTTGGACCTGGTTAGTACTTGGATGGGAGACAGTGCACTGCTGCTGAAACAGCCTGCTGCACAGGAGGGAATGACAGACGTGACATGCTCGCAGAGCATCGGGGTTCACTGGCCATTCTGCTTCCAGGTTGCAGTTGAACCATGAGCACTGCACAGGGAGTCAGGAGACCCAGATTCAGGACTCAGCCTGACCAGTGAGTCACGGGCTGTGCTGTCCTGGAGTTGTCTTTTTCACCGCTTTTGAGCTGTTTAGTCACCTATGTAATTATAAGGACTGACATTTTTAACATTTTCTATGCCACAGGGACCATTAGAAGTTAAAGAATAACTCCCTTGCTCCTCCCAGCTGTCTTTTGTTGTTGTTGTTGTTGTTTTTGAGACGGAGTTTCGCTCTTGTTACTCAGACTGGAGTGCAATGGTGCAATCTCGGCTCACCGTAACCTCCGCCTCCTGGGTTCAGGCAATTCTCCTGCCTCAGCCTCCTGAGTAGCTGGGACTATAGGCACGTACCACCATGCCCAGCTAATTTTTGTATTTTTAGTAGAGACGGGGTTTTACCATGTTGACCAGGATGGTCTCGATCTCTTGACCTAGTGATCAACCTGTCTCAGCCTCCCAAAGTGCTGGAATTATAGGCGTGAGCCACTGCGCCCGGCCTTGTGGTTGTTTTTTTGAGATAGTCTCACTGTGTTGCCCAGGCTGGAGCACAGTGGCTCACTCAGCCTCCGTCTCCTGGGTTCAAGTGATTCTCCTGCCTCAGCTTCCCACGTAGCTGGGCTACAGGTGTGAGCCACTATGCCTGGCTAATTTTCGTATTTTTATTAGAGACAGGGCTCTCCATGTTGGCCAGGCTGATCTCCATCTCCTTCCCTCAAGCGATCCACCCACCTCCGCCTCCCAAAGTGCTGGAATTACAGGCATGAGCCACTGCACCCAGCCTTCCAGCAGTTTTATAAGGCAGATACAGTTATTTCACCTGCTTACACATGAGGACTCAGAGAGGGCTGAAGCAACTTACTCAAGGTCAATAGCTAGTAAGTGATAGTTTTTGTAGAAATGGGATTTCACTATATTGCCCAGGATGGTCTTGAACTCCTGGCCTCCAGTGATCCTCCTGCTTCAGCATCCCAAAGTGTTGAGATTACTGATGTGAGCCACTGTGCCCAGCCAATATTTGAGGCAGGGTTTTACTATGTCACCCAGGCTGGTGCTCAGTGGTTCAAACATGACTCGCTGCAGCCTCACCCTCCTGAGCTCAGGTGATCCTCCCGACTATCTGGAACCACAGGCACGCCATGCCTGACTAAATTTTTAATTTTTAAATTTTTTATAGAGTCAGGGTCTTGCCATATTGCTCAGGCTGGTCTCAAACTCCTGGACTCCAGCGATCCTCCTGCCTTGGCCTCCCAAAATGCTGAGGTTACAGACATGAGGCACTGCACCCAGCCAACAGTTGACTTTTAACCACTATGCATGCCATCTCTGATAAGACAGGACAAATCTATTAGCCATCTATTGCACAGTGTAGTGGTGCAAAGCAGTAAACATGTAGGATAACATGCAATTTCTGTGGATCAGGCATGAGAGAGTCGCTTAAGTGAGGGTTCTGGATGAAGGTGTCATGAATTCCGGTCAAGATATCACTGGCCAGGTGCGGTGCTTCATACCTGTAAAGCAGCTCAGGAGTTCAAGACTAGCCTGGGCAACATGGCGAGACCCTGTCTCTGCTCAAAATACAAAAATCAGCCAGGCACAGTGTGCCTGTGGTTCCAGCTACTTGGGAGGGTCACCCGAACCCAGGAGGTCAAGCCTTCCATGAGCCATATTTGTACCACTGCACTCCAGCCTGGGGGACAGAGCAAGACTCTGCCTCAAAAAAATAAATAAGGAAAAACAGGTCAATTTTGGCCAGGCATGGTGGCTCACCCAGTGGTCAAGGTGTCAGCAAAGCTGTGTTCCCTCTCGGGAAGAATCTGCCTGTCCCTTCCAGGTTCTGGAGGCCCCAGGCAATTGTTGGCGCTGCTTGCCTTGCAGAACCGTCACTCCGGTCCCTTTTTGTTGTTTTTGAACAACAGGCGTGAGCCACTGCGCCTGTAATCCTAACACTCTGGGAGGCCGAGGTGGGTGGATCACCTGAGGTCAGCAGTTCAAGAACAACAACAAAAGAGACGGGAGTGAGCCCGGCTCTTCTTTTTGTTGTTGTTATTGTTTTTTGAAACAGAGTCTTGCGCTGCTGCCCAGGCTGGAGTGCAGTGGTGCAATCACAGCTCACTGCAACCTCAGGCTTTTGGCTCAAGTGATCCTCCTGCCTCAGCCTCCTGAAGTGCTGGGATTACAGGTGTGAGCCACTGCACTTGCTTGCCTCCCTGTGATTCGTGTCTCCTCACTTGGCCTTCTTATAAGAACACCAGTCCTGGCCAGGCACGGTGGTTCATGCCTGTAATCCCAGCACTTTGGGAGGCTGAGGTGGGCGGATCACGAGGTCAAGAGATCGAGACCATCCTGGCTAACATGGCTAAACCCCATCTCTACTAAAAATACAAAAAATTAGCCGGACATGGTGGCAGGCGCCTACCTCCCAGCTACTTCGGAGGCTGAGGCAGAAGAATCGCTTGAGCTTGGGAGGCAGAAGTTGCAATGATCTCAGATCACACCCTTGCACTCCAGCCTGGGCAACAAGAGCAAGACTTCATTTCAAAATCAGTCAATCAATCAATCAATCAATCACTCAATCAATAAAAAACACTAGTCCTGTTGGACTGGGGTCCACCCTAATCGAGAAGACCTCATTGTCATTTGATTTTATCCACAAAGACTCTATTTCCAAATAAAGTAACATTCACAGTTTCAGGGGGTTAGATGTTTGGAATAGTCAGGTTTGAACGTTCTGGAGCCGAATCAGCCTTAGGAAGATAGAACATTCCAGAAAGAAATCAGTGGAGACAAATTCTGTGGGCAGAACCCAGAATCCACTAAAAGCCATGAGAACTCTCCAGTGAGAGAGGGCATCCAAAGCTTGGGAAAATGGCCTGGGCACCAAGGACTTCCAAAGTGACTTAAAGAGCTGGGTATGGTGGCTGGTGCACGCCTGTGGTCCCAGCTACTCAGGAGGCTCAGGCGGGAGGATCACTTGAGCCCAGGAGATCCAGTCTGCAGTGAGCTATGAGCATGCCATTGCACTCCAGGCTGTGTGACAAAGTGACACTCGGTCTCAAAAGAATAAAAACAAAAGCGAGGTGATGTGGCTCATGCCTATAAACCCAACACTTTGGGAGGCCGAGGTAGGTGGATCACCTGAGGTCAGGAGTTTGAGACCATCCTGACCAACATGTCGAAACTCCGTGTCTACTAAAAATTAGCTGGGCGTGGTGGCAGGTGACTGTAATCCCAGCTACTCAGGAGGCTGAGGCACAAGAATTGCTTGAACCCTGGAGGCAGAGGTTGCAGTGAACCAAGGTCGCACCACTACACTCCAGCCTTGGTGACAGAGTGAGACTCTATCTCAAAAAAATAAAATAAAAATAAATAAACACATGAAGTGACTTGAAAGAACGGCCCGCCTGTGCTGCTATGCGCTGATGATGACATTGACAAGGCAGGCCGGTCTAATCATCACCCTTTACTCAGCAATGAAGGTGACACTGACGCATATGTACACAGGGCTCTTCACATCATAAAGCCTGGGCTGTAGGTTACATCATGCCCCTCACCAGCCTTGCCCTGGAGGCAGAGGTTGCAGTGAGCCGAGATCACGCCATTGTACTGCAGCTTGGGCAATAAGAGTAAAACTCTGTCTCAAAAAAAAAAAGTATTTGTTAAATCTAACCTACCAATCATCATAGCTTAGCCTAGTGTACCTTAAACATGCTCCAAACACTTAACTTTAGCCGAGAGTTGGGCACAGTCATCTAACACATAGCCTGTTTTACGATAAAATGTTGAATAGCTTGTGTAACTTACCAAATACTATCCTGAGAGTGAAAAGCAGAATGGTGATATGGGTACTTGAAGTATGATTTCTACTGAATGACATTGCTTTCACATCATTGTAAGGTTAAAAAATTCTAAGTCGAGGCTGAGTGCAGTGGCTCACACCTGTAATCCCAGCACTTTAGGAGGCCAAGGTGGGTGGATCTCGAGCTCAGAAGTTTGAGACCAGCCTGGCCAACATGGTGAAACTCTTTCTCTACTAAAAATACAAAAATTAGCCAAGTGTGGTGTGGGCACCTGTATCCTAGCTACTGGGGAGGCTGAGGCAGGACAAACAATTGCTTGAACCTGGGAGGTGGAGGTTGCGGCGAGCCAAGGTTGCCCCACTACACTCCAGCGTGAGTGACAGAGCAAGACTCTGTCTCAAAAAAATAGAAAAGAAAAATTCTAAGTCAAACCATCATTAAGTCAGGGACCTTCTGTATACAAAGTGCCTGGGAACAAAGACAAGAAGAGGGTGGGGACTCACACAAGCCCAGAATAGGGGAATAGAATCAGAGAAGTGAGATTTGAGCTCGGCCTGCCCCGAGTAGGAATTCCAAGGCAGAAGGGAAAGGAAGTCTTTGCAGAGGAAACAGCGTGAAAGGGATGTGGAGGCTACAAGGTCTCTGGATTCAGAAAGCAGTGAGGAGCCCAGTGTGGCTTCAGAAAGGGACCAGGGAGGGGGAGAGGAGACCTGCAGGCTGGCAATGAGGGTGGGTGGGGCCGTGGAGGCCCTGAGCTTGCCCCTGAATGGGACGCCTCTTAGGATCTGGGGTTGGTGGTCCAGATGACAGGGGAGGAAGAGGCTAACCCATAGTGGCACTCTGTGGAGAGAAGTCAGATACAAGACCTTTCCACAAGGCAGGCTCAGAACCTCCAGAACTGGTACGGAACCCCTGCCAGGGCTGCGAAGAGAGACAGGCAAGGCCTCTGCAAGCTCCAGGCTGATTTACATGGTCGCAAATGTGGGCATCACAAACAACAGCACGGGGCCCAATCCCGCTTACATATGTGTTTTATCAACCCAACATTTTACATTTGAATTGGTTGCTAGAATTTTTTTTTTTTTTTTTTGAGACAAGAGTCTTGCTCTGTCACTGAGGCTGGAGTGTAGTGGTGCTTTCTGGGCTGACTGCAACCTCTGACTCTCAGGTTCAAACGATTCTCCTGCCTCAGCCTCCCGAGTAGCTGGGATTATAGGCGCCCACCACCATGCCTAGCTAATATTTATATTTTTAGTAGAGATGGGGGTTTCACCATGTTAGCCAGGCTGGTCTTGAACTCCTGACCTCAGGTGATCCTCTTGCCTCAGCCTCCCAAAGTGCTGGGATTACAGGCATGAGCCACCCTGCCTGGCTGGTTGCTAGAATTTAATAATCAGATTTTACACAAAAATCTAGACTTCCAGCTTCTCATGGAAAACTGGAAGATGTGGCAGCTCCAGGCCCATGTTCCTTTTTTTTTGAGATGGGGTTTCACCATATTGGCCAGGATGGTCTCAATCTCTTGACCTTGTTATCCACCTGCCTCGGCCTCCCAAAGTGTTGAGATTACAGGTGTGAGCCACCGCACCCAGCCCCCATGTTCCTATATAACAACTGTGAGCCGGGACTGTGTAGTTTGCCACACTCCCCAGCACTCCCTAGTGTCTCTCATATGTAGCCTTCTTTCTTCATATGTGTGGCCTCCCTGGCCGCTGTCAGCACTGAAGTGTGCAGCTTGTTTTCCAAGACCTGTTGCTACTGCAGACACCCCTGCTTCTGTGAAGAACTGTATTTAGGTTGAACCAACTCCACGGGGCCGGGTGCAATGGCTCACTCACTCCTGTAATCCCAACAGTTTGGGAGGCCCAGCTGGGAGGATCACTTGAGCCCATCAGTTTGAGAATGGCCCAGGCAAGATGGCAAGACTCCATAACTACAGAAAAATTTAGAAATTAGCCAGATGTAGTGGTGCACACCTGCAGTCCCGGCTACTTGGAAGGCTTAGGCAGGAGGATCGCTTGAGCTCAGGAATTCAAGGCTTCAGTGAACTATGATCGTGCCACTGCACTCCAGCCTGGTCAACAAAGGGAGACCCCCATCTCTAAGACAAAACAAAACACCCACTCCATCCAGGTGGGGATTTAATCCCAAATCCACGAAAGAGCTTTGCGTCTCGATGGCGAGCCTCTCCTGTCTGTCTCTTGCCCTGAGCCTTCTGGCCCTTTGGGCCTCACTCTAGGTGGGGCCAGCAGGCGTCTTCCATCATCCCAGGAGACCTGATTATGAAGCTGCTGTCCTCCTATTTCCCTCAGGAGCATTCTGTTTTCCAGCTCTGCTTCTGACTTAGGAGTTGTAAAATACAGTCACTGATGACGACAGTGGCAGGAACCTCTAGCCCACTGTGCTAATTCCCCTGGGGCTGCCATAACAAGTTACCATGAACTGGTCAGGCATGACCGGCGTGGTGGCTCACACCTGTAATCCCAGCACTTTGGGAGGCCGAGGCAGGCGGATCACCTGAGGTCAGGAGTTTGAGACCAGCCTGGCCAACATGGCCTCCTGGGATGATGGAAGACGCCTGCTGGCCCCACCTAGAGTGAGGCCCAAAGGGCCAGAAGGCTCAGGGCAAGAGACAGACAGGAGAGGCTCGCCATCGAGACGCAAAGCTCTTGCGTGGATTTGGGATTAAATCCCCACCTGGATGGAGTGGGTGTTTTGTTTTGTCTTAGAGATGGGGGTCTCCCTTTGCTGACCAGGCTGGAGTGCAGTGGCACGATCATAGTTCACTGAAGCCCATCCCTACTAAAAATATAAAAATCAGCTGGGTGTGGTGGCACGTGCCAGTAATTCCAGCTACTCAGGAGGCTGAGGCAGGAGAATCGCTTGAACCCAAGAGGCGGAGGTTGTAGTGAGCCCAGATCATGCCACTGCACTCCAGCCTGAGCAATTGAGTGAGATCCAGTCTCAAAACAAACAAAAATCCAAATTGCCATGAATGTAATGGCTTAAAACAACAGAAACTTCACTCTCTCACGGTTCTGGGAGCCAGAAATCTGAAATTAAGGTGTCCACCAGGCTGCTCTCTGAAGCTCGAGAGGAGGATCCCTCCTTGCCTCCTCCAGCTTCTGGGGGCTCCAAGTGTTCCTTGGTTTGTGGTCGTGTCACTCCAGCCTCTGCCTCTGCGCTTACGTGGACTCATCTCCTTGTGTCCCACATCTGTGTCTCTGACATCCGTGTCTCCCTGTGTCTTCTTTCCTGTCTCATAAGAACACTGGTCACTGAATTTAGGACCTAAAGCAAAATGATCTGAGGTCAAGATCCACATTTTCATTCCATCTGTGAAGACACTCATTCCAACCACGGTCACTTTCCGAGGTTCCTGGTGAACATCTCTCTCTCTCTTTTTTTTTCTTGTAGGGGAGCAGATGGGACACCTTTCAACCCACTCTACCCCAGCCACCCTGTTCCTGTTACGTAATATTGCTGTGGAACAAATAACATCCAAACTTAGTGGCTTCAAACAGCAACAACCATCTTATTACCTCCCATGGTTTCTTTGGGCTAGGAGTCCAGGCAGGGCCTGGCTGGGCATGATCTTAGCTCCCAGCAGCCTCCTCCCAGGCCTAAGTGATCCTCCCATCTCAGCCTCCCGAGTAGCTGGGACTACAGGCGTGTACCACCATGCCCAGCTCATTTTGTTTGTTTTTTATCGAGACCAGGTTCTACCTCTGGGTCTTTCAGACAGACAGGTGCAGTCAGGCAGTGCACGCTGCTGTGACAGCATGGGGCTGAGGTAGTGGGGGACTGGCAGGCATCTGTGTCCCCTCCTTCCTTCATGTGGCTTCAGGGCCTTTACCTGTGGCTAGTTAGGGTTTCATCAGTGCGTGTCAGCCTTAGGGAAGTCCGATGGCTTCCTGGAGAGCAAGGCAGACAGCATGCATTCTTTGATCCAGCTTTCAGCATCCCAGAGGGTCACTTCCGCTGTGATCTCTCAGCTGAGACAGCCTCCAAAGCCTGTCCTGCCCCAGGGTTTTCACCAGGTCTCAGCAAGTAGAGCTCTCTCCAGCAGTGCATCTCCCTTCACAGCTTCAGTAACTAACTGCCAAGTTCTCCCAACCAAGGGCAGAGCCTCAGTTGGATACAGGAAGTTGACTCTGGGGCTCACGGCTACTGCCTGTCCTTCCTCCACCTGGGAAAGGGGACCTGTCTAAGTTGAAAACTGCTCTCCAGCTGGGCATGGTGGCTCATGCCTGTAATCCCAGCTTTTAGGGAGGCAAAGGCAGGAGGATAGCTTGAGCCCAAGAGTTTGAAACCTGCCTGAGCAATATAGCCAGACCCCGTTCTCTAAAAATTAAATAAGGTTGGGTGTGGTGGCTCTGAGAACTTTGGGAGCCTGAGGCGGGTGGATCCCTTGAGGCTAGGATTTTGAGACCAGTCTGGCCAACACGGTGAAATGCAGTCTCTACTAAAAATACAAAAAATTAGCTGGGTGTGGAGGTGTGAACCTGTAATCCCAGCTACTTAGGAGGCGGAGGCAGCAGAATCACTTGAACCTGGGAGGTGGAGGTTGCAGTGAGCTGAGATCACACCACTGCACTCCAGCCTGGGCAACAGAGTGAGACCTTGTCTCAAAATAAATAAATAGGCTGGGTGTGGTGGCTCACACCTGTAATCCCAACACTTTGGGAGGCGGAGGTGGATAGATCATCTGAGGTCAGGAGTTTGTGACCAGCTTGGCCAACATGGAGAAACCTCGTCTCTACTAAAATTAGAAAAAAATTAGCCAGGCGTGGTGGCACACCTGCCTGTAATCCCAGCTACTCAGGAGGCTGAGGCAGGAGAATTGCTTGAACCTGGGAGGCAGAGGTTACAGTGAGCCAAGATTGTCCAGCCTGGGCAACAGAGCGAGATTCCATCTCAAAAAAAGAAATAAATAAACGATAAATAAATAAACTGCTCTCCAGATGGTTTGAAGACGACAGGGATGCAGTGAGAGGAGGCCCGCGGACCCCTAGCCAGACAACCTGGCTTCCAGACCTGGCTCTCCCGTTTCTATTCGTGTGGCCTAAGTGTCATTTCCTGCTCAATCACAAAAGGCAGGACGCCTGCCCGGCCGCCTTTCACGGTTGTCATGGGTGGAATGTGATGAAATATGTTAGAGTGCTTGGAACACTCGTTACTGCTCTTCAAATAAAAGCGATTGTGTGCGCTTTCACTCCTCAGAGTGCTGCAAACACCAGCTGTTTTATAAATAGTTGTGGATTTTAATGTAGAGGTTTCATATCAACCCCAGAAGGAGTGCCGCCCACTCTACCCTGTCACCCGGCTAGTCACCAGGGACACCACTGGGTCAAATCATGAATGAGGGGCTGTGGTCTGTGTGGCCCCCAAATAGCCAGTGAATGAGGATGGGAAAGGACATGGCTGTGTGAACACACTACCCCAAAACTTAGTGGCTCAATCAACAATTTAGTTTTCTCTCTCACGATTGTGTGGGTTGATGGGGTTCCACTGACCAGTTCTTCCTCAGGGATCTCTGTGTAGGTGCAGACAGATAGAAGCTGGGGCTGTGGCCATCTGAAGGCTCAACTGGGCTGGATGTCCAAGATGGCGACTCAGGAACCCTCCACGTGGCCTCTCCAGCAGTATGGCCTGGGCTGCTGCTTTTTTGAGAAAGGGTCTTGCTTTGTTGCACTCCAGCACTAGCATAATCTCAGCTCACTGTAGCCTCCTCCCAGGCCCAAGCAATCCTCCCATTTGAGCTTCCCGAGTAGCTGGGACCACAGGTGTGTACAAGGGACCACATGTGTGTACCACTACACCCAGCTAAGTTTATTTTTTGTAGAGATGAGGAGTCATTGTTGCCCAGACTAGTCTCCAACTCCTGGACTCAAATGATCATCCTGCCTCAGCCTTCCAAAATGCTAGGAATACAGGCCACTGCCATCCAGCCCCAGGCTTCTTTTTTTTTGAGACGGAATCTCGCTATGTTGCCCAGGCTGGTATAGTGGCGTGATCTCGGCTCACTGCAAGCTCTACCTCCTGGGTTCAAGCACTTCTCTGCCTCAGCCTCCCGAGTAGCTAAGCTTACAGGCACCCACCACCATGCTTGGCTAATTTTTGTATTTTTAGTAGAGATAGGGTTTCACCATGTTGGCCAGGCTGGTCTTGAACTCCTGACCTCATGATCCACCCACCTCGGCCTCCCAAAGTGCTAGGATTACAGGTGTGAGCCACCCAGGCTTCTTAAATGTAAGCTCCTGGCTTCAAAAGCAGGTAGACATTGTCAGTTCTCTACAGAGTTCCAGGTGCATTTGGCACAGAGTCACAAGCTGATACCACCATATTCTTTTGGTCAAGACATACCACATTCAATGGGGTCATGGAGAAAGAAACTCCACTCGTCAGTGGGGCAATGACATGGAGGGAAGGAAGTGATGCCTACTCCCTTTGGAGACAAGCTGCCACCCAGAATGAGGGCCAGTTCCACTCCTAAGCCTATCCATCTGCCCGGCTTAGAAGGTTTGTCATGGTGACAATGTGGGAGTCCTGGCTTTGGGTGGAGAGTGTGGGGAGCAGCAGAGGCCCCTGAAAAGAAAAGCCGCTGAGCAACCTTACCCACCCCACCCCGACTGGTGCAATGGGAATTAGAGCTCTGGGGCGCCAACGTCAGGGCCAAGATACAGAGGCCTGTCCCTGGCCACCGTCCAGCCTGGCCTCCCTCCCACATCCTGACCACAGCTCTGACCAGGCAGTTGGGTGACTACGTGGGGGCGGCTTCTGATTGTCCACCACACAGCTGCGCAGGCACAGGCGCCAAAGCGGGCCAAACAAGCCTTTCATTGGACTGGCTATCTCTTGGGTAAAGAACTGGCCACAGCCCTTTCTGTTTGCATTTCTCAAGCCTGGTGGAGCCAGTGCCATGCGCAGCCAGCCTCCCCGCTCCTGTGTGTTTTCTGGCCTCTCCCCTCCTCCTGCCACCTTGTAGCGGCTTCCCTTAAACTGGCACTGCTCCGGGCTTTCTGAGCTACTCCCCGCCCCAACAGCTGATTTCTCCCTTTCTTTATCCCTTTCTCCATCTACTCTCTCATTCTACCAGCATCATTGGGGACCTCAGAGTGGGTGGGAACCAGGGACGTTGGCAACCACCCTGCAAGGCTCACACATAAATGTTGGGCGCCGTGACTCGCGCCTGTACGAGTGCTCATCCCAGCACTTTAGCAGCCGAGGCGGGCAGATCACCTGAGGTCAGGAGTTTGAGACCAGCCTGGCCAACCTGGTGAAACCCTGTCTCTACTAAAAATACAAAACTTAGCCAGGTGTGGAGGCACGTGCCTGTAATTGCAGCTCCTGGGGAGGCTGAGGCAGGAGAATCGCTTGAGCTGTGCTGTACTGGTTGGATAGTGCTAGAGGCCATGTGGTCATGAACGAAGTTGAAAAGGTTTGCTATTTGGCTGTTTACAGAAAATGTTTGCTAAGCCGTGAATTGGGGAGGTGGTGGGGCCTCAGTATGGTCTCTGCATGAGACGGTCTCTGCCTGGGCTCCTGATAGAGGAGGGGAGAGATTTGTGTTTCCAATCAGAAACAGTTCATTGGATGGGGTACTGGTGTCTGTGTCCCAATCCCGCGCACTGGTCTTCAGGAGGGAAGCAAGGTGGGGGTTCTGAGTGGTGCTGAGTCAGGACTGGGTCCTCCTCACCCCTTCTCAGGGGCTACCCTGCTCACTGAGCAGCTGCAGCCCCCCTCAGGCTTTGGACAGCCACCAGCGTAGGACAACTAGTGCCCCTCCCCTGCAGGTCCAGGCAGCGGCAGGAGGTCAGGACAGAACTTGTTTTCAGCACACAAGGAATCCTGCCCCCACCATACCCAGAAATGTCTGCAGAGCCTGGGGCAGGAGGTGAATTCCTGAGTGAGCCCCTAACACGCTCATCTGAAAATGCCACCTGTGTGGTGTGGGTGGCTGGAGAGGCTGGGTTCCCTGTCCTCCGTGCCCTCTCTCCACACTCCACAGAGAGATGTCCTCAGGGTTCTACCCTCCTGTCACTGGTCAGAGTGACACTCAGGACTGCCCCATTAGGAACAGCGGTGGTCTCTTTCTTGGATGACTCTTCTTGCTCCTGGGGTACCCTGGGTTCTCCCCAGCCATTCTCTGAGATATGGGAGGGGCTCTGGGGAAGGGAAGGCCTGCCCTGGACAGATCTCAGCCACATGGAGAGATGAGAACATGCATTCCACCTGCAAGGGGCTTTCAAACAGCAACTAAGCCCGTATAGAGGCACATGACCCCATTCCTCCTCACTGCCCGGTGAAGCTGTGCCAGTCCCTGGCACAGCTTTGTGCCTGGAGTAGTGCTGGCCAGGCTGGCCACTGTGCCACTGAGCCATTGGCATGCCCTGAGCCCCCAGTGGCACCAGCTCCTCGGGGAGGACGGCCTCTGTGCCCAAGTCTCTTATTCTGGTGAGTTGCTGCCCCAGTGATTGATTTTTTCATGTGTTTTGTGCTGACTCTATTCTTTTCAGCAGCAGCCCTCTCTCTGGCACCACAGTGTCTGCCTGCAGGCTGGGCTGGCCAGATAGCCAGGGAGAAACACATGCCCCATGCCTGGGAGGCTCGGCAGGAGAAGGCAGGAGCCAGGCTCACGGTCAATGGACAGCCATGGAGGGGACCTCAACCCAGGTCCCCATCCTAGCCGATTTCATCAACACCCTCAGGTTTCAAATATCCACGGGCTCACCCTGCCATGCTATGAAGCTGGCGTGAGTGACTCTGGGCTGAGCAACCAACAACACAGGCTAAGAAGGGTGGCTGGCAGCTTAGCAGGGCTGGAGACTTTGGAAGACTGCAAAACACTTGATTATATTAGCATACATGATTGCTGTGAACATTTACAAACTTTTTTTTTTTTTGGAGACAGAGTCTTGCTCTGCTGCCCAGGTTCACTGCAGTTTTGACCTCCTGAACTCAGGCAATCCTCCCACTTCAGCTTCCTGAGTAGCTGGGACTGTAGGTATGTCCCACCATGCCCAGCTAATTTTTTAAATTACTTATAGATATGGGATTCCACTCTGTTGCCCAGGCTGGTCTCAGATTACTGGTCTCAAGGGATCTTCTCACCTTGGCCTCCCAAAGTGTTGGAATTACAAGTATTACTGACCGTGCTGGCCTTTTTTTTAAATTATTTTTTTTGAGACAGTGTCTTGCTCTGTCACCCACGCTGGAGCGCAGTAGCACAGTTTGGCTCACTACAACCCCCACCTCCCGGTTCAAGCAATTCTACTGCCTCAGCCTCCCGAGTAGCTGGGATTATAGGCGCCTGCCACCATGCCTGGCTAATTTTTGTATTTTTAATAGAGACAGGGTTTCACCATGTTAGTCAGGCTGGTCTCGAACTCCTGACCTCAGGTGATCCATCCGCCTTGGCCTCCCAAAGTGCTGGGAATTCAGGTGTGAGCCACCTCGCCCGGCCCCTGTTTTTTCTTATTAAAGTTAGAGATGGGGTCCGGTATATTGCCCAGGCTGATCTCAAACTCCTAGTCTCAAACAATCCTCCTGCCTTGGCCTCTCAAAGTGCTAGGATTACAAGTGTGAGCCACCATGCCTGGCCTACAAACTTTTTAAATCACAAAAGGAATCTGTATTTGTTAGAAACTTTTGAAACAAGATCAGAATTAATGGAAGACGAGAGTGGAAGGCGCGGCAGTTCTCCCCACTCACTCCCTCATCCTATTCCCTACAGAAGCCCCTCTCTGCAGTTTGGGCTGCCTGTTTCCACATGTTTTCTGGAAAACTTGCTTGATCATTTGAGACTTGCAACAATTCCAAGATGAGCAGGTCCGATCACATAGTTGTCAGTTTATAGGTGAGCACAAGGGGCTTAAGGAAGTCCTTCTTTGTCCCAGTAGAGCAGCGAGCCAGCAGCACAGCCAGAAGGAGCACCTACATCCCAGGCCTCGTCCATTCTCTTTCCCCTGGGACTAGCTGCCCCCGTGAGTGGCCCATGACTTCTCTTCCCCAAGCAGATCATCTTGTTGCACAAGCAGAAAACTCAGAGGCCTCATTTCAGGTATTAAACAAGACAGCGACCGTCTCTAGAGGCCTCTGCGCTCCAGGCCTCCCAGGGATGTAGGGAGGGCCAGAGCAGTGCAGTCTTCCCAGGTGCAGGACCGGGGAGCTGGGAGTGGAGGGGCAGAGGACAGCTGGCTCCCAAGTCCCAGGAAGAAGGCCACTAGGACTCCTTTAGTGATTCCCACTCACTTCGATCTTGCTCTTAGCTTTGGTGTTGAGTGACAGCCTTGTCTATTCTAGAAACCAGAGAAGGCCGGGAGCGGTGGCTCACGCCTGTAATCCCAGCACTTTGGGAGGCTGAGGCAGGCAGATCACCTGAGGTCAGGAGTTCAAGACCAGCCTGGCCAAAATGGTGAAACCCTGTCTCTTAAAAAAAAAAAAAAATACAAAAATTAGCCAGGCATGGTGGCAGACATCTGTAATCCCAGCTACTAGTGAGGCTGAACCCTTCGCCTCCAGGATTGCTTGAACCCTGGAGGTGAAGGTTGCAGTGAACTGAGATCATGCTATTGCACTCCAGCTTGGACGACAAAGGAAAACCCTGTCTCAAAAACCAAACAAAACAAGGCCAGGTGAGGTGGCTCATGCCTGTAATCCCAGCACTTTGGGAGGCCAAGTTGGGTGGATCACCTGAGGTCAGGAGTTAGAAACCAGCTTGACCAATGTGGAGAAACCCTGTCTCTACTAAAAATATAAAAAATTAGCCAGGCATGGTGGCACATGCCTATAATCCCAGCTACTCAGGAGGCCGAGGCAGGAGAATCACTTCAACTCAGGAGGCGGACGTTGCTGTCAGCTTAAAAAAAAAAATAATAATAATAATAAAAAGGTCAGGCTCAGTGGCTCATGCCTGTAATCTCAGCACTTTGGGAGGCCGGGGTGGGTGGATCACTTGAGGTCAGGAGTTCGAGACCAGCCTGGCCAACATGGTGAAACCCCATCTCTACTAAAAATACAAAAATTAGCTGGGCATGGTGCAGAATGCCTATAATCCCAGCTACTCACGAGGTTGAGGCAGGAGAATCATTTAAACCTGGGAGGCGGAGGTTGCGGTGAGCCGAGATCACACCATGGCACTGCTGAGACTGTCACAAAAGCAAAGCAAAACAAAACAAAAACGCTTGGATTCGAGTCTTGGCTCAGACACTTGCTGTGTGCCTTCCACGAAATCACCTCCCCTCTCTGAGCCTCCATTTCTTCATCCTAAAAGAAAGGCCTGCCCTCTGGATTGAAAGCAGTAACACCAATGGAGGTGTTTGCAAAACATGAATGTGAAATGGAATGACTGCTTCTCTCCATCCCCGTGTTCTGTCCTGAGCTTGCTTGCCTCTCAAGTACTGGTGTCAATTTATTCTATTACAGAGCTAGACCTCACTTTTTAAACTGTGTTTTTTTTTTTTTTTTCAAAATAAGTAACATGTTTGCCTAGTTCAAAAATTTATTTTTTGATTTTTATTGTTTTTAGAGATGAGGGTCTCCCTGTGTTGCCTAGGCTGGAATGCAGTGGATATTCACAGACTCGATCACGGCTCACTGCGGTCTTGAACTCTGGGCCTCAAGTGATCATTCCGCCTCAGCCTTCCAAGTAGCTGGGACTACAGGTACGTGCCACCGGGCCCAGCTAACATATTTTATAATGTTTAAGTTACAAAAAGGTATATGCTTGCCTCTGTGTAGCCAATGAAACCACTTTTGGGATATCCATCCAGAGATATTCCTTAGCATATATGTGAGACCGGCAGATGTGTTGTTTCTGTTACCCTCTTTTTTTTTTTTTGAGATGGAGTTTTGCTCTTGTTGCCCAGGCTGGAGTACAATGGCGAAATCTTGGCTCACCGTAACCTCCTCCTTCTGGGTTCACGCAATTCTCCTGCCTCAGCCTCCCGGGTATCTGGGACTATAGGCATGCACCACCACACCCAGCTAATTTTGTATTTTTAGTAGAGATGGGGTTTCTCCATGTTGGTCAGGCTGGTCTTGAACTCCTGACCTCAGGTGATCTGCCTGCCTCGGCCTCAAAAGTGCTGGGATTACAGGCGTGAGCCACAGCACCCGGTCTTCCGTTACCCTCTTTAACCCAGATGGGAGTGTGCCATTTCATCCATTCATTGAGAATTGAAGCCAGCCAGTCCCACAGCCTATTCTGCTCCTTGATTCCTCTTGTTTTGTTTTTCCCCTTTCCAGTGTATATAGAACACGGCTCCATATTTGTCCATCAATGCTTCCATCTTTGTTCTGCCTCCTGTGACCCATCACTGGGACACACCAGCCGCCTATGTGGGTACCTCCAATCCTTTGTCATCATTACAAACGAAACCGCCTGGGTCATGTCACAAATGTGCACGCATAGCTGGTGTTCCGTTTCTACAAGCAGAACCACTGGGTCAAAGAATCTGTGCATTTAATAGATACTGCCAACTTGCCCTCCGAGGAGGTGGTATCAGTTTACAGCCTAACAGCAAAGTAAGAGAGTGGCCTCCCCTTTCTACCAAGTGAGTGTGGCCTCAAGCTTGCACCTCCACCAGACTGCTCGGTGGAAAATGGGGTCTGGGTATAGTTTTCATTTGTAGCTGTCTTGTGCTAAGTGAGATTGAGCATCTTTTCAGCATCCAGCCCTGTTGCTGGCTCCAGGTCTTCCCTGTACAAAGCTCTAAGGTTGTGGCCTTGCCTGTGACTGACTCTTTAAGATCCAGGTCTAGATTTGTGTTTCTATCTTCCGGCTTCTCGCTGAGTCACTCCCAGGAAGGAAAGGGCAGCAGACTCAGGTTATTTCTGCCTGGGCCATCTGAGCTGCCAGTCCTGGGAAGACCTTGGCCTCCCAAACTCCCTGTGGGTGCCCAGCACCTGTGCGTTGTACCTGTCAAACCCAGCCTTTCTGGTCCCCCCCGGGAGGGATAGGGGCTTGCAGATAGGGATCAGGCCAGGCATGTTTGTAAACTAGGCATGAAAGGACCCAGCTAGACTAGAAGAAGGATTTGGAAGAAATCAGTGAGCAAAATCCTAAGCTCTAAGTGACAGAATGAGAGGAATGAGGCCAAGTGGAGAGAAGAGATTTAAGTTGTTGAGAGGACTTTGGGCAGAGATGGTGGTGAGCCACCGCCGGGGGATGGGACACTTGGAAACAGCGCTCATGGAATCACGTGAGACTCACTGTGCAGCTTCCGCCCTGGCTCCCGGGCCCACTATCACTCCAGGGTTAGTGCTAAGAGCTGCCGAGGGTGGGAAGTAGAGACAGCCTCTGGCCTGTGCATGGAGAATCCAGGCCATGCATGCGACCAGCCAGAGGCCTGGAGAAGCCCCTCTCTCCACAGGGACCCTCTCTGAACAGGGTCTGGGCCTCTGTGGGGCAGCTCTGGTCAGGTGGCTGTAATTTAAGCTCAGGGCCGCCCTGTGCATCTGGCTGAGTCTTGCTCACGGAAGGACGAGAGAAGCCAGGAGAAGCTGGTGGCTGCATTCCTGGGCCCCTGGGGAGTCTGCAGCCTGTTATTTCCTGACTCAAACAAAAAGCAAATTTGCACTGGAAATTGCTGAGGCAGAGTCATCCTGGAGCTCCTTGAAGAAAGGGGACTCGTAATTTTCTAAGCTCCAGGGCCTCTGACTCCTGGGAGCTGGACTTTCCCCTCTGTGAGCTTCCGTGGAGACCCTGGGGCCTGTTCTAGGCTCAACCACCATCCGCAGTTGAGGCACTCCTCCCTGCTCTGTTAGGGCTGGCAATCCAGCTCTAGACTTCAGAAGTGGACAGGGAGAGAGGTTTGATGTATTTGGGGCTCCATTTCAGTTCCATCCAGGTGCCCCATACTGCTGTGTCAGAGGGAAAACGAGCCACTGCTGATTTTTACCCCAGTCGGGATCAGAGACGGATTCGGTCGCAGCAGGTGGCGTGCAGGCAGGGTGGGGCCCCTACCTGAAGCCAGCTTCTCAGAGACTCTCAATGCCACATTACCAAGCAGAGTTTTCAAGAACCGTAGCTAGGGATGCTCTCCTCCCTCCAGCTCTTCAGCCTCTCTGGGGGAAAAGCACAAAAAGTTGAAGTTGTCCCTGGGGCCACCATGGAATGCTTAATTGCTTTCTGAGAGAATTGTCACCTCTTTCTGCTTTCCTCCCCCTCTCCATTGCCCTTCTCCCTTCTCCCTCCCTCACTGGAGGCTCTTGCTGGGGGAGCCGGGGCTGAAGACATGTGCTCCCTGACTGTGCCCCAAGGGAACCAGGAGCATGTGCTGACGAGCGGTCCGCTTCTCCAAATATATTGCTGCACCACCTTTGCTGAAAAAAAGAATCCTATGTTTTGGAGGAATAAATGTGCTCTTTGCTGTGAGCCAGGCACTCTTTGACAGCAGATGGATGATGTCCCAGGCCAGCTGAGTCAGCCAGACTTTGGAACAAGCAGTGTGAACCAAGACAGGGATGGGAGCCAGCCAAGGAAAGTAAGGTACAGGGATATTTGAAGGTTTTCATCCCAGGAGTTTAGTCAGCACGTTGTGTAATGATTTACACTGAGGGCCAAAGAGGGATGTATATTATGAAGGGCAGGCTAAAAAGCGGTCACAAATAACCCCCCTAATGTATAATAGCTCAAATACCTTAGGAATTTATTGCTTACTCACATAACAGGCCAGGATGAGCATTCCTGATTGTCCAGTGGCTTTCCTCCACATGGTGATTCAGGGACCCAGGCTCTTTCCATCTCAGGGCTCTGCCCTTCCCCAGGGTCTCGTTAGTACCTATATCCAGCTGGCAAAGAAGAGGAAAATGGTAGAGGAAGCACACGTGCTTCTGACTGCCTTGGCTCAGAGGGGCTGCACCTCTTTCCTGCTCACATTCTATTGATAGGAATTTGTCATGTGGAGATATCCAGCTGCAAAGGCAGCTGAGAAATGTAGTCTCTGATCTTGTGAAACTCTGCGAAAGGGGAGTGGAGGTTTTGGTAGACAGCTAACCATCTGTGCCACATGTCCTAAATCAAGCCACGGGACCAGGAGAGAGAGCAACTCATTTTGAGTTTGTTTTTGCTTCATTTTGAGGCAGGGTCTCACTGTCACCTGGGCTGGAGTGCAGTGGCGTGATCATAGCGCACTGTGGCCTTACTTCCTGGGCTCAGGCAATCCTCCCATCTCAACCTCCCAAGTAGCTGGGACTGTAGGTGTGCACCACCAAGCTCAGCTAATTTTTTTTTTGAGACAGAGTCTTACTCTGTCACCCAGGCTGGAATGCAGTGGGGAAATCTCTGCTCAATGCAACCTCTGCCTCCTGGGTTCAAGCTATTCTCCTGCCTCAGCCTCCCAAGTAGCTGGGATTACAGGCGTGCACCACCATGCCAGGCTAATTTTTGTATTTTTAGTAGAGACAGGGTTTTACCGTATTGGCCAGGCTGGTCTTGAACTCCTGACCTCGTGATCTGCCTGCCTTGGCCTCCCAAAGTGCTGGCATTACAGTCATGAGCCACTGCACCCAGCTAATTTTTTGTATTTTTTTTTTTTGTAGAATGAGGTTTCACTATGCTACCCAGGCTGGTCGGAAATTTCAGGAATCTGCCCACCTTGGCCTCCTGGAGTGCTGATATTACAGGTGTGAGCTACTGTGCCTGGCCTTTTAAAATAATTTTTTTTTAATTTGTTATTTCTTTTTTTGAAACAGGGTCTTGCTCTGTCTCTAGGCTGGAATACATTGGTGTGATCGTAGTGTATGTAGCCTCAGCTTCCTGGGCTCAAGCAATCCTTCTACCTCAGCTTCCCAAGAGCTGGGACTACAGGTGCATGCCATCAGCCCAGCTAATTTATTTTTAATCTTTTGTAGAGAAAGGGTCTCCCTATGTTGTCCAGTTGGTCTCAAACTCCTAGGCTCAAGCTATCCACCCGCCTTGGCATCCCAAAATGCTGGGATTACTCGCATGAGCCACTGTGCCTGGCCACTCTGGGTCTTTAATTAGGGATTCCTGCCTGAGTAACTTGCTAGAAAGGATTTTGCTTTTGCCAAGGATTGGAAGATCTGCCAGCCTCAGAACTGGGCAGAAATACAGGAGCAAATTAACAGAGAAGAAAACTACTAAGAAACCTGGATAATGAGGCTTAAGAAGCTGTGTGATTCCCCTGCAACTGGTTTATCTGTGCAAAGTTCATGCCCAAACGTCCCAGTCTGAGCATAGAAGCTTGGGCCTCTGGCAGAAGCTGTGCAAACAAAGATGTGGATGGTTCTTTGTGGAGGAGGGGCACAGCCAGAGTGCAGGGTGAGGCTGCAACTTCAAGGCCGTGGGAGAAATCAGAAACGCCTCCTCTGCCTCCTCCGCTGGGAACAACATCCGAGGCCGGGAACCTTCACTGTGCAGGCACCTGCATTAGGTATTATTTCTGCATAACAAATTGCCACAAATCTAGCAGCCATTTATTTGCTCATGGTTCTATAAGTTAGAAGGAATACTATGCAGCCATAAAAAAGGATGAGTTCACATCCTTTGCAGGGACATGGATAAAGCTGGAAACCGTCATTCTCAGCAAACTGACACAAGAACAGAAAACCAAACACTACATGTTCTTACTCATAAGTGGGTGTTGAACAACGAGAACACATGAACACAGGGAGGGAACATCACATATCCTTCTGCTGTCAGAGAGACTCCCTGCTTTTAATAAGCTCCTGTGATTAGATCACACTCACCCAGATAACTGGCCCACTTGAAGATCAACTGATTGGTAATGTTAATTACACCGAAGATCCCTTCTGCCATATAATATCACAAAGGAAGTAACACACCCAGGGGCAGAGACCGTGAGGCCATCTAAGAATTCTGATTCCCACAGTGCCTGAAGCTGTGGGTCTGGGACCCAGAATGGCTTACATTGAAGCTGAAAAGACTTTTGCTTTCTGGACAAATTGTTGTCCCACTTGGTTGCACCCAGCCGTGTTAGGGTGATTGCTGGGCCTGGCCCCAGCTCTTGCCATATACACAGGAGATTAGGGACAGAGAGGATATGGCCCCTCCTGCTGCAAGCCCCTTTCTCTTGTCAAAAGACAAAATGACAACAAATTTAAAGGTCTTAATTGGCTTTTACTTGGATTTTAGAATTGGGCAACACCTTACCGTATATAATAGAATAAGTGTTCAAATTGAGCTGAGCAGTAGAGGTTGGCTTTGAAAGCAGAAACGAGAACAAACATCAGATTTCAAAGTTATTTTCCTTGTAAGATTAAAGCAGAGGGGACTTCCTTACCATACCGGCTAAAACTGGCCTGTTTGGGATCTGGCTATTATCCCTCACTCTCCTGATCTCTCAGAATGTCAGATAAACAACCTGGTGTCAACTGGATGACGAGGAACTTCAGCATGAGTGACTCACTTCGGCTTGGTCTACGGGGCCTGTGCAGGGACTCAGCCCAAGCCAGTGGCCTCCTATACATTTCACTGAACACGCTCAGAGCCCCATGGAGACCGCACATCCTGAAGAGAGGCTCCAGATTGTGCAGAACACTCTGAACCCAAAAGAAATACAGCCTGGCGGCCAGTGCATTGGCTCATGCCTGGAATCCCAGCACTTTGGGACCAGGAGTTCGAGGCCAGTCTGGGCAATGTAGTGAGAACCCTGTTGCTACAAAAATTTAAAAATTACCCAGGTATGGTGGTGTGTGCCTGTAGTCCCAGCTATTTGGGAGGCTGAGGTGGGGGTTGAGGCTGCAGTGAGCTGTGGTTATGCCGCTGCACTCCATCCAGACTGGGTGACAAAGTAAGACCCTAGCTCAGAAGATTAAAATAAAAAGAAAGAAAGAAGAAAAAGTGGGAAGGAAAGAAGAAAGGAAGAGAAAGAGGAAGGCAGGCAGGAAAGAAGGAAGGAAGGAGGGATGGAAGGGAGAAAGAAAGGAAGGAATGAAAAAAGAAAAAGGAATGAAGGAAAGAAGGAAGGAAGAGAGGAAGGAAGGAAGAGGGGAGGGAAGGAAAAAAGGAAGGAAGGAAAGAAGGAAGAGAGGAAGGAAGGAAGGGAGGGAGGGAGGAAGGAAGGGAGGGAAGAATGAAGGAAGGAAGGAAGGGAGGGAAGGAAGAATGGAAGGAGGGAAGCAGGGAAGAAATACAGCCTGCCAGGTCCCACTACGAAGGATCTCACCCACTAATGTCCCCACCCTGCCTCCCCGGTACCCCCCTAACCTCAAACTCTGGTCTCATGCCCTGAAGACAGCCTTGAAGCTCTCCAATCTCCCACCCCTTTGCCTCCCCTTTCCTCCCACACCCTCTTTAAGGCAAGGGCAGGCATGGGCACAGTGACTTCAGGACTTGGCCTCTTCCTGGGCATTCCCTGGCCCACCTCCTGCCACCTAGATGGTGCCCAACCCAGAGCGGCAGCTCCTGGCTTGTCCCCTGTAGGTAGCCTGATATTGGGCAAGGTAGGGCAGGGGAGAGGAGGGAAAGGACGCTGCTCACAGGCCTCCCACAACCGTCTTTCAACCTGGCCTCTTGCCTGGCTGTGGGCACCCAGGTTCCTTGGGGGTCTACCCTTAATGCGTTTCCAGGGCTTTGCTTAACGTCTTCTTGCTCCCTTCAATGCTACTCTTTGTAGTGAGGCCAAGGGGCATCCTCCTCTCCTCTCCCCAGGCCCCTCTCCCCTACAGTTACACAGGAATGTAGGCACCTGCAGTGAGAACCACCAGAAGCATTTTCTTAGCTACAGGGCCTCACCCTGGGGCCCCACTGAGCAGAACAACCCCTTTGAGCAGCTCCCTTCTTCCGGCTCAGGAGCTGATGTCTCAGACCCAACGTTGGCCTTCCCCTTCTTTGTCAAGTTTCAGGTCCTGGAAGGTTTGGAGAGGGGCCTCCTCTTTGCAGTCAAACAACTTAATTTGAAACTCCCATGCGAAGCCATCTGCCTGGTCTGGTGGCCTTTCCTTCCCTCTGGGATAGCAAGAGGCACAGCAGGATTGTCTGCAGGAACAAAGGGTGTGGGTGGTCAGAGAGCCGGAGGAGCCAAGATTCCGGGGGCGGCGGGGGGCAGAAACTGCAGCCCCAGCTGGACAGGATTCAGCACAGCAAGGGCAGTGAGATTGGTGAGGCTGGATGTGTATGCCCTTTCAAAGCTAAAAGGCAAGTATTTGATTGACCAAAGGAGAGAAGCCTGGAAGAGGGAGGCTGGGAACTGCTGCTGGAATCTCAGAGATCTAAGAGAGTTCCGGACCAGGCTCCCTCTCTTCCCAATAGGGACCATAAGCACTGCAGGTTCTAGGATGAAACCAAGAGTGTCTTTTGCTGAATTTGGTTTCAGGGAAGCGTTTTGTCTTGTAACTCCTTTGTTTTTGTATCTTTTCTTTTCTTTCTTTCTTTTTTTTTGAGACAGAGTCTTGCCGTGTTGCCCAGGCTGGAGTGCAATGGCACAGATCTCGGCTCACTGCAACCTCCGCCTCCTGGGTTCAAGTGAGTCTCCTGCCTCAGCCTCCCCAGTAGCTGGGATTACAGGCATGCGCCACCACGCCCAGCTAATTTTTTGTATTTTTAGTAGAGACAGGATTTCTCCAGGTTGGTCAGGCTGGTCTCGAACTCCCGACCTCAGGTGATCCACCCACCTCGGCCTCCCAAAGTGCTGGAATTACAGGCGTGAGCCTCCACGCCTGGCCTGTGTTTTTCCCATTTCCTCTAAACCTTCTGGCTTCTTTTGTTTGTTTGTTTGTTTGTTTTTTGAGATGGAGTTTCACTCTTGTTGCCCAGACTGGAGTGCAATGGCACGGATCTCGGCTCACCGCAACCTCCGCCTTCTGGGTTCAAACAATTCTCCTGCCTCAGCCTCCCAAGTAGCTGGGACTACAGGCACCCACCACCATGCCCAGCTAATTTTTGTACTTTTAGTAGAGACGGGGTTACACCTTGTTGACCAGGATGGTCTCGATCTCTTGACCTCATGATCCACCTGCCTCAGCCTCCCAAAGCGCTGGGATTATAGGTGTGAGCCACCCCTTCTGGCTTCTAAATCACTCAGGCTCCCTTGTCTCCCCGGGACTCCATAGGCACTTCTTCAAACCTCTCCTGTTTTCCTCTCCCTTCTGCTCCCTCCCAGTCCATGATGCATTCTTTTCCTCTTAGCTTTCAGGACCCAGCCCTTCTGCTGGACTCCTTTCTGGAGAAAAGAAGGATGAGAAGAGGCTGAGGGCAGAGCCGAGATGCCTGCAGGCTGCATGCAGAGACCCTCGGGTTGCCTCTCCTGCACAGCAGCGCAGAATCAGAAGGGCCACCTACTGCAATGGGGGCAGCGAGGGGCCACCTCCCCTCCCTGACTCACGCTCCTCCTGTATAATATTTTGTCATTGGTGGTCCCGGGCTCTGGGATTGAAGTATTTATTGGGTTGTGACCACACCCCTTGTCGATGGCCTGGGGGTTTTCAGCCGGAAGCTGAGCCAAGCCCTTGGAAAAATCCGCAGCCACACCTGTTGCCCTCCAGAAGTCTTTTCTTCTTTGTAGGTGTGGCCCTTCCATCTTGAGGTCACAGGGGAACTGAGGCCGGAGGGAGAGGGACCAGGATGCCTCAGGAATCACCCAGCAAGCCCACTCATAGCCTGGCCAATTTTCAGGAGTGATTTCTTCAGCTTCTTTCCCTCCACAGACACGAGAAGCCACCCACACTCACCTGACCAGCCGGAACCCAGGGGAGCCGGCCTTAATCCTGGCTTCCCTTCGGCTCAAAAGAATCTGGATCACAACAGGTAGGGTTACTTTACTTGCGCCAGCGCCTCACTTCGCAGATGTAGAAACTGGGGCTCAGGGAGGGGCCTAGGGCCATGAGGCCAGTCCAGGACACGGTGGGACAGGCAGCCTGGACACCTGGCCTACCAGCACCCCCCGCAACCTCCCCAGCCACCGCTGCTTCCCTGGGGTACCTTTTTTCCTAGGCCATAAATCCCTTTCAGTATGCGCTGCGTAACCCTACGGTATGGTCAAGGGAGTAACTCTGGGGACAGGGACGGAGTCCATGGGGCTGCTTAGGATTCTGCCTTCCATAGTGCCTGAGGCTCCTGACCCCCCCTCCCCCACACCTGGTTGTATCCCCAGGCAGCTCCTGGGAGGAAGTGCCCTCTCCCACCATTGGCTGCCCCTCCTCTCAATGAGACCTGACAGCCATCCCCAGTATGTCAGTTACAACAATGTAACCCGTGGGGCGCACACCCCCCAACCCCCACCCTTCTGAAGGCCAGGTCCCTCCTGGCCAAGCTGGCCCAGACCCACAAGTCTTTCAGCCCGTGGTTCCAGGCTCCAACCAAGGACCTGTGATTCTTGCAGGATGCCAGAGAAGAGGTGGCCACAAGACCCCAGCAGCGCTGTTCTCATTTCGGGGGCTCCTCAGCCGAGATCCCTCACTCTCTTCTGGAATTCTTCTGGTTTCCTCACGGACGTCATTAAAATTTGTATTCACTCATGTAATAAATATTTATTGAGAATGTGCTGAAAGTACTGGGGTAATTAAGAGTGGGAGACAAGGGGGCAAACGTGAGGCAGCCGTGAACCTTGCCTGCGGAAGGCTGAGCACGGAGGTGCTCAGAACCAGCAGACTCCTCCCGTCTGGGTTCTGAAACTTCCTAGTTCCGTGACCTTAGCTACGTCAGCTCACTTTTCTGATTCTCAGTCTACTTGTCTGAAAAACTAGGATGATACAGATTGTTGGTGAGAGACTGACTCTACAAATGGCCAGTGGCCAGACCAGACATAAAAATAGATCTCTGACCCACAATCTGCAGCAACCGGCCCAGGAAGCCGGCCTGCCATCTGCCAGCTACGAGTCATACCTGTAGGAAGTCAGGCCCCAGCTCTAATCACTGGTCCAAGAAGTCAGTCAATTGACTCAACTTGGCCAGGACTTGATTTGGAATTGACAGTTTCCCTAATTCTCATCCCCTCTTTCAATTTGTCTCCATTTCCAAGAAAAAGCCAAATACCGGCTGGATGCAGGGGCTCACACCTGTGATCCCAGCACTTCAGGAGGTTAATGCAGGTGGATCTCTTGAGCCCAGGAATTTGAGACCAGCCTGGGTAACATAGTGAGACCCCATCTCTACAGAAAATATCAAAATTAGCCAGGTGTGGTGGCGCACACCTGTAGTCCCAGCTACCTGGGAGGCTGAGGTGGGAGGATTGCTTGAGCCCATGAAGTCGAGGCTGCAGTCAGCCCAGAAGTGCCCAGGCTGCCCACTACACTCCAGCCTGGGCAACAGAGTGAGACACTGTGTCAAAAAAAAAAAAGCGAAGCCAAACATGCCCCTCTAACCAATCCCATAGGATGCGGTGTCCCCTTCCAGTGAGCTGCTTCCAGCTTCCTAGGCCCACAGCCTCCATCAGGGTACACCTGAAGCTTTCCTTTCCTTTCTTTCTTCCTCTCCTCTCCTTTCCTTCTTCTGTTCCTTTCTCTTTCTTCCTTTTCTTTCCCTCCCTCCCTTCCCCGCCTCCTTCCTTCCTTCCCTCCCTCCCTCCCTCCTTCCCTCCTTCCCTCCTTCCCTCCTTCCTTCCTTCCCTCCCTCCCTCCCTCCTTCCTTCGTTCTGTTTTTCAGGGTCTCATTTTCACCCAGGCTGAAGTTCAGTGGCACAATCATGGCTCACTGCATCCTTGATCTCCCGGCTCACATGATCCTCCCACCTCGGACCTCCCAAGTGGGTAGGACTACAGGTGCGTGCCACCACACCTGGCTAATTTTTTGTATTTTTTGTAGGGATGGGGTTTTGCCATGTTGCCAAGGCTGGTCTTGAACTCTTAGGCTCAAGTGATCTGCCTGCCTCGGCCTCCTGAAGTGCTGGGATAACAGGTGAGAGCCCCTGTGACTGGCTGAGTCACACTAAAACAAACAAACAAAAACCTGCCTTCCTTTCGTTCCCAAACAGACAGCTGTCATTTCACATGCTTACTTTATCTCATGTAAAATGTAGATTTATTAAGCATACCTCTTTTCATGTGTAAAATGTGGATTCAGTGAGTGCTAATCAAAGCCTCACAAGAATATAACCACTTGCCTCATTGCCTGATCTCCCCCCTTTTTTTTTCTTTGTTCCTTTCCCTCCTGCCCGCTCTTCCCCTTTTAAATTTTTTTGTTTTTGAGGTAAAGTGAGGCTCTTATTGCTCAGGCTAGAGTGCAGCGGCGTGATCTCGGCTTACTGCAACCTCCACCTCCTGGGTTCAAGTGATTCTCCTGCCCCAGACTCCCAAGCAGCTGGGATTACAGGTGTCTGCTAATTTTAGTATTTTTAGTAGATACAGGGTTTCACCATGTTGGCCAGGCTGGTCTCATACTCCTGACCTCAGGTGATCCACCCACCTCGGGCTCCGAAGTGCTGGGATTATAGGGGTGAGTCACCACACCCAGCCCCCTCTTTAAATGTTGAAGTCCTCGAAACTCTTTGGAAAAAGCACAGGCCACAGATCCTACCGCAACTTGTGTTTCTCTTTTTCTGGAGCACCCTTGACCTCAGCAAATAATCCTTTAAATCAATCGAGATCTGCCGCAGATCTTTCTGGCTAATGCCACCCTAAAGCTTCCCTACTCCGCCCGCCTTTGAGTCCCTCTCAAATACGAGTGGTGGTGGCACAAGAGGGTGCTCCTATGGCACTTCCTGGCCAGGGGTTCCAGCCATTTCAGTGGGTGATAGGACGTCTTCCAGCCAGCCCGGCCCCATCACCTTCACCGTTAAGCTGTTTCCGGCCCTTTTTTTTTTTTTTTGAGATGGAGTCTCTCAGGCTGGAATGCAATGGCATGATCTCTGCTCACTGCAACCTCCGCCTCCCAGGTTCAAGCAATTCTCCTGCCTCAGCCTCCCGAGTAGCTGGGATTACAGCCGTCCGCCACCATGCCGGGCTAATTTTTTGCTTTTAATAGAGACGGGGTCACACTATGTTGGCCAGGCTGGTCTTGAACTCTTGACCTGGTGATCCACCCACCTCGGCCTCCCAGGGGGCCAGAATTACAGGCATATAGGCATAAGCGGCTGTGCCCGGCTTGTTTCCAGCCCTTTTTCACCATCTTTCTATATCCCTGGGAAACAGTTACTGGGTTCTTCTTTCATGGATAAAGAGCAGCCTCCTCCCCCAACCCCACACACAGGACCTCTAAGTCCTCTAAGAGACCACAGCCTTCCACTTAAAGTCAACTCATGTTCCTGCCCCTTCCTCCATCTAGATGCATCCCTTCCTCCATCCCACCCAGCTCCTGTGGCACTGCCTGCCCACCCCTTTCTCCGAAGAGCAGTGTGGTAAGGCAGGGGCTGTGGTGCCAGGGCATCTTGGCACACCTCTGTCGCCCCACCCTGCCCCGCCTGCTAAATATATATCTTGGAGGAGTCCAGGAAGGAGCCGCCACAGATGTGATTAACTCTTTGACCTCCAGCACCGTGGAGAGAGGGCAGGCTGGAAGGAGCAACGGGAAGGGGGTTGTACCCAAGTCCAGACTAGAGGAGACCCTGCCCAGGCTCAGCTGGGGGATGGGAGGACCCAACGCCTCACACCAGGCTGGGAGGATGAGGTCCTGAGATTCTGGGAGGGGGCTGGGTCTGTGCGAAGGAGACCCCGGTGCCCTCACTGTCGCCTCCCATCCAGCCCACCTCCACTGTTCAGAAGGAGGAAACTGAGTCAGAGGAGAACGCAAGTCTTATGACAATCATCTGGCAAAGTCAGGCCCTGACCCACTTTCTCTAGAAAGAGCTGAAAGAAGACCTCAATTCTCTTTCCTAGAGAAGGTGAGGAAGGCCGGGCAGGGAGCACAGCTTCCCCTGGGTGGGCCCCTTCCCAGGCCCCTGGAGAGAGGTGTGCAGGCCTCAGAGGGAAGAAGCAGGCAGCTGATGGCTGGCCCCTGGGTGACCCCTCCCTCACCTTCCCTTCTTTCCCAAGTGGCAGCACCCAGCTCGGCCCCTCACTGAGAGCTGCCTGTGCACCCCTGAAAGGTACCCCCGAGGCTCACCAGGCCCTGCTAGCTAGGTTTGGGGGGATGGTGGACTGGAGAGGGTTGGGGTGGGGTGAAGCAGGGAGGGGAGAAGACTCTCAGGCTTCAGAGGGAGGGTGTCAGCTCCAGGCCATCTCCAGGGTCCCCTGCCTGCCACTGCTCCTAACCACCAGGGACTTTGGCCATCTCCCCCTTCTCACCTCCCTGACCCTTTTTCTATCCTGTTGGGTGGGGCCCCTGCCAAGGCCCAAACGCCCTTGGAGGGCAGGAGGCCCAAAGCTGCTGTGAACAGGAACCACTGACCTGGGGCAGATCCAGGTGGGCGTACGGGGTGGGGCTGGCCGGACCCCAAAGACGCTGACTGAAGTCCTGGGGACCCAACACCCCCGCAGGCCAAGCTCCCTGGAGTGGGGAGGGCAGGTGAGCAGAACTCAGCCAGCAGGAGGGGCTGGCAGGACGCAGTGAGGAGGGTGGAGAGAGGAGGTGATGAATGATGAAAGGGCCTTCACACTGCTGTGCACAGGAAACCACCGAAGTCATCGGAGAAAACTTCGGGGCCCAGCAGCACCAGGGCTGGCCAACCCCAGCGTGGCAGACGTGGCTTAGGGTGGAGGAGAGTGACAGAGGGTACAAAGGCCTCCCACCGACTACTTGGTGCTGGCTGCAGGCCCGGGGCAGGCAGTGCGTCTCTGCAATAACTCGGATCTTCCTATGGACCTGGCTTACAGGCCCACTCTCCTGCTCCCTGGCCTGACCGTCCAGCCAGTCCTGCAGCGCCCCCTGCTGTCTGAGCTGACAAGGACATGCAAAAGAGGGAGGTGGGCAGAAGACCCTCCAGGGAGCTCAGGCCACCCCCACCGACAAGGAGGCCAGAAGGGCAAGATTTCCAAGACCCACCCCCCAATGCCAAGGGCTGTCCCATGGTCCCTGCCGGCCGGGACAACCAAAATGGTTCAATGTTTTATTTTTTACACAGGGTCTGGCTCTGTTGTCCAGGCTGGAGGGCAGTGGTGTGATTTCAGCTCACTGCAGCCTCAAACTCTGGGCTCAAGTGATTCTCCCACCTCAGCCTCCTGAGCAGCTGGGATTACAGGTGCCTGCCACCATGCCCCGCTAATTTTTATTTTATTTCTGGTGGAGACAGGGTTTCGCCACATTGTCCAGGCTGGTCTCGAACTCCTGAGCTCAAGCCATCCTCCTGTCTTGCCTCCCAAAGTGCTAGGGTTATAGGCCTGAACCACTGTGCCTGGCCAGCTCAATGGTTAATTTGGAAAATACAGTTTTGCTTTCTGGGCCAGGGTGCTGAAGAGATTCTGCAGGATCTCTCTGGAAGCTTGTCTTCATCAGGCCACCCACCCAGCCATTGGTAGGCCATCTCCTAGGCCCGGCCATGGCGAGAGGAAGGGAACCTGGTCACCTTGTCAGAATCAAGGGACACTCATGTCTGTGGACTTGAGCTCCTATGAAAGATCCCAGAGCAGAAGAGACAGATGTGGGTCCCTTTTTTCCAGCCAGCATGC